CCTCTTCTCCAGACTAAACCGCCGAGCTCCCTCAGCCGCCCACAAGACCTGCGCTCCAGGCCCCTCACCAGCTTCCCACCCCTAGATGGGATTAGTGGGAGGCAGGTGGCCGGCACTTCCATTTGGACCCATGGAACGTTAGGCTGCGCCTAACCGGCGGGGGCTGGTTTTGCATAGCACGGGGAGAGAAGTTAGTTTTGGGACCGCTTTTTGGTGGAGGAGAGAGCAGAGGGTGTTTGGCATGCACCCGCGCGACAGCAGGGCGGGAGGAAAAGCAGAGGTGACAGCGGAGAGTCGGTGGCAGAGAGAGGCGAAGGGCCGGAGAAGCAGCTGAGAAGGTGACGCTCAGCTCCTGATCAGCTGGATCGGACAGCACTGATCTTACCGGTATCGATGAAGCCAAGGATGCAGAGCGTGATGGAAACGTTCACGCTCTGAATGCTGAATTCCTGCCTCAGGGAGCTGAAAAATCCGTCCAAGGCAAACTTAGTCGCAGAGTAGGGGACCGTAAAGGGAAACCCGACTTTACCTGGACACAGAGTGAAGTTCTGTTACAGCGCAGAAAGCTGCTCCGCCTAAACCCCTGTTTTGCACTTCATCAGAAAAAGAATTTTACCCAAGGGGACATCACTGTTAGTGAAATGTCATCCTGGCACCTGAACAGCAGCATTACAACTATTCCCGTCAGCTTCCAGCTCTTTCAAGGTCTTAAGGCCAACACCATGTCTCATGTCTTTGCTCAGGGTATGAGCAACCAGCAGTGACTATGAGACCTTCGGGGGGGAGAGATGGAGCAAAGTTTAAACTCTTGTCTCTGGACACAGAGCTGAGCTGATCACCAGAAGACTAACTAACATACCAGCTGTGAGTGGGGACATCTGTTAGTAATTTAGGTTCCTGACTTAACAGAAATTTATTAGAACAGAGTCGTGTTTTTGTGAAGAGAGTCGGTCGATAACTCACTCTACAAATATTAGCATGAACTTGACCTACCAAACAAAGATGACAGCCAGAGAACCCATGCAGTGAGAAATTACTGCATTTCCGCTTTTCCCCGTAAAACTGGGGGTATATGAGCTCTGCTGCTTTAATGAGCCTGACACCAGGGTGTGGGGTGTAGTTACAGGGCTGGTCAAAAAGCAAGCTGTGGTGATTGGATTGCATCAGAGAACAAATTCCATCGAGAAAATACAAAAAGATCTGGATTTTTTTTTTTTTTTATAGTGTGGTAAGCAGTTGTGGCTCCTTTAGGATGCCTGGTGTCTCTGCATGGTACTTACTTCTGAAAATCAGCCCACAGTGTCTTTTGACTGAATCGCATGTCACCTACCTCGCTCCCCACTCACCTGCCATGGATGAAACCACTACGATGCTGCCTTCGCTCTCCTTCAGCATGGGCAGGGCAGATGTGGTCATTGCCACATAGCTGAGGAAGTTGATCTCCAGGAGCTTTCGTACATGCCCAACATCCCCGTTGAAATAACCAAAGTACGACGTGCCGACATGATTAAGAATCAGCATGTCTAGGCCTCCTGCAAGCAGAGGAGCAGGCATTAGTGCTGGGTGGGAGAGGGCTACAACCAGCAAAACAGAGCCTTTCCTGCGAGAAGAATAAATGTAATCAGAAGAAAACAGGTTTTAGGGTCGGAGCTGCGGCCTGTCATCTCTGGAGTAGGGATATAGTCCAGATTGTGGCTGACAGTAAAAATTTTATTGTGATTTTTTTCCCCCCCTTGTTCAAAACACAAACACCATGGCACAAGGGAGATCGCCCTTGAGTTTTCTGTGGGCCCAGGGTGGGAGAGGAAGCGCTCCATGCAGAGCTGAAATATTGCATTTCTGCAGCTGTGACCCATGACCGCAATAGCAAGGCTGCTGTGGGCCTGATGGACGGTTTCGGACCACAGTAGCTGGGGGTGATGAAATCCAGGATTATAATACTGGAACAGGATGTCATGAGGGCACAGAGCTGAAATCAAGAGCGCAGTTCAGCCTAAGCTGGAGTGATGAAGCCGGGTGGGGAAGTGGGACCACAAAGGGCAGAATTAGGGAAAAATCTCTCCCACTTTTTTTTTTTTAAGCAGGCACATGGCAAAGAGCAGCACGGCCAAGCGAGATGCAGCGTTCCGCTGTCATTTGCAGGGAGCAGGCTGTAAACGTACCCAGCGAGGTCTCTGCCTCCTTCACCACGTGCTCGGCGAAGGCCATGTCCTCCATGGTGCCGCTGACGTACCGTGCCGAGGCTGCCCCCAGCTCCAGGCACCGCTCCACCACCTGCCACACCAACACAGCGTGTCAGAAACCCCTTTCCGTGTCAGAAAGCCCTTTCCTTGCCCTGGGAAACCTCCTGCAGTGCAGAAGAGGGTGTCTGTGCTGCCTGTGATGTGTCCCCGCCTTAAAACGGCGGCTTCAGAAGTATGTTTGGAGCCTTTTAAGCTTCAAAGGGAGCCTGAGAAATTGTTCCTTTGGCGAATGCATTACCCAAGGCAGTCTGGCTCTTTATCGGTGCAGTCTGTGCTGGAATTGCATGCATGTAGGGTGAGCAGGAGCCTGTATATCACTGCAGTGGAATGAGGGTGTGTGTGTGCTGAGGGAGCCTGTGAGCATGGGGATACGTGTTCATACGTAAGCAAGTTCAAGTACCGTAATATGTGCTATGCAGAGTGCATGTATCTGCAGGAGAGGGATTCCTGTGCATGCAGGAGCCCCAGACAGCACAAGTACGCATACCCGCGAATGTAACTGTGCCTATCTGGTATTCGTGCCGTGCCAATCACACGTGCATGTATTCATGCATGTACCTGTGATGTGAGATTGGCCTTCATATATTTGTGTGTGCACTGCCATGAACATGCATGTGTGAGTGCTCAGCTTGCCATTTACTTTCTGCAGCTTGGCCTCTGTCCGTGCTGTGATCAAAATGTGGGATCCCATCCGCGCCAGGTGATACGCCATCTGCTCGCCAATTCCAGTGCTTGCTCCGGTGACAATCACCCGCTTCCCTTTCAGCATCTCTGGGGACCAAGGCACAGGGATGTAATTTATCCAAATGCTATTTAAAAACAAAACAAAACAAATCCCCTAACGCCCTTCAAAGTAGTTAACTGGAAGCGAAGTGAGGCTGCAAGTGCAAAGCATCCGGCACCAGGATGTCTCTTCTCCCAGCTGGGAAAAGCTGCGCTGAGGAGCAGCTGCAGCTCCTCATGAATGCAGTGACACGGGGACAGCGCTCGACTCTTTCAGCAGTTTTTTTTTCCACAAGTCAGGACGCAACTTAGAAACACCCCGACTATTTTGTAATAAAAATCATCCACTAAGTGCATGCTTCAAAACTCAAAATCCAACATTTAAAAGTCATGTTTATAAATTCTTTGCGACACACTGGAAAACGGAGTGTTCAGAGCCCTCTCCATCTCAGACCCCCTGCCTCACCTGCTCCTTCAGGAAGTATTTCTGCGTATTACTTGCTCAGTTTGATTTCAAATCTTTGTTAAAACAGCTTTCCAGTATCAGCCACCACACAAAGGCTCAGAGGGGGTTTGGTCCAAGCTCTGTACAGTTTCTATGCAAAACACTCAAATGTGGCTTTTAATATTTTTCCTTAAAGACAGATTCACTTTTAATACTTACCCGGTTTGAAATTCTCCCTCGCAGAATAAAACCAGAAGGCCAAAACCAATCCCAAAAAGGGAAGGAGAATCTTTTGCAACCGACCCATCCCACTGTGGAGTCGGGAAATAAAGCATGAGAGAGAAGGGAGGAAAAAAAAAAAAACCCCTCTGCGGAGCTGCTCCAGAGGGAAGCAGCAAAGCCGGTCCTTTAAAACCTGTTAGCGAAGGAATTGCGACTCCCAAAGCACTGGAAAATCACGGGTGGGTAGATAAGCGAAGCAAACCCTTTGATTTGCTCCCCGCCGGAGCTGGCAAACCTCGGCCTAACCGGCAGTGCTGGCTGTTTGGGTTCTGCCTGGCTCTTGTCATATTTCCTGTCCTACGTTAAAAATGCAGAATTTTGCACAACACCCTGGAAGAGGTGTGTCTTTGCTGAGCAGCATCAAGTTTCACTCTGAGAACATCAGAGGCAGCCTAGTGCAGGTGGTTAAACATCGTCTTTTATTCCTGCTGGCACGCTACGGGGGTGCGTGCGGAGATGCAAGCCGGGTCGGATCGCTCGCGGCGGGTCGGGCACCGGGGAAGGGACTGGGGGCCGGGGTGCTGCGGGGGGACACGCAGCAGGACCTGCAACAAGGGTCCCGTGCTCCCTGGGGCATCGCTGCTCTGCGCCCCGAAACACCAGACTGCCGCCGCGATGGTGGGCAGCAGGCGCCCAGCGATGCGCATCACCCCCAAACAGCTCCGAAAATGCTTTGCTGAGGCAGGGTTTATTTTTTCATCTCTATCTAATCCTGCCAGCAGATGAGGGAGTAGGGGCTGAGCTGGACCTGTCACCAGGGGTGCAACCGCTCCAGCTCCAAGCCAAGGGGCCGTTCAGGCACAGGGAGGTTTGCAATGAAATACTGAATGTTGTTTTCTGCCGAGAAATAAGGGTCCTTGCTGCCATGGTTCCTGCTTTGAGTTTTGCAAGAGCTTTGTTCTTGTTTTTAAGTGAACATAGTCTGAGGAAAAAAAAAAACCACATAAAATCTGCTGGCTCTCTAGGTCTGGGCAGCAGCAAATTCAATGCCATCAATCTCATGCACTAAGTATAAACTATGTTCCAGCCTTGGTCTGATGCTGGGATCTTTATCGCAGAGTACCAGTACCTGCTGCGGTACATGGGATGGGGACAAGCTGTGGGAGCTTCATGTGCTCCTGGAGCTGCCCTGCTAGAGCATCTGCGTTTTCGGGGGGGGAAAGCCCTGTTTGCTGGGACAAGAGCCTCATCTGCAGTGCGGGGGTTGCGCCATGCTCTGATTTACCTGGGCACAATGCTGGGGTTGTCCCTCTCAGGCCTCTCTACTATAACCAGCCAGAAAGAATTATTTAAATAAAGTTGTCTGGGTTTTTTTTTCCTCTATTGCAGCTTTAAAATAAAGATGATTTAATTTAGTGGCATACCCGGTAGGGCAGTGGAACTCTCTGGCATTGCTTCTGCTTTATAGATTATTTTTTTATTTTCTGCCTTTCTACTGCAGTCTCAACTTAACCTCTGATAAGAAGCACTTAACCCACCCTTGGTCAGATAACACCAGTACGGTCACTCTGCCTTTTCCTGCCTTCCTTTGCTTCGAACTTGGGTCATGATTATGGGGCAACCATTTCATTCCTTGGCTTGAAAAAAAAATGAACTAATTAACCTTACCTCAGCTGTGATTTTTGTCTGTGTTGCCGGCAGGGAGAAAGGCTCTTTTCAGCTATTGTTGTTTATTACTAGTGTTAGGATACTGCAGTAAAGCAATAACTGTCAACCTTTGTGCACCGTCTGCAAGCGTGTCAGGAAGGTAGCGTGCTCTTTGCACAGGGACATGCGGGGCCGGAGGCAACCCGGTGGCTACGGAGCCAAACACTGCGCCTGCTTTGCTGGTGTGTTGTTTAATAAGAATTGTGAGTTTGTTTGGGATTTTTGCGTGAAACAAAGTAGCTGCTAATAAAGGACTGAAACACTGAATATTTTGGACCAAACTTAATTTTTTTATATAAGAAAATTTGTGTATGTGCCATTTAGGGTGTCCTGTGTGGAAATGAAGGGGGGGGTGTGCTGGTGTGGACCCTGGGAGGGCTGTGGGCTGTGGTGGCAGCAGGAGCCACTGGATCTGGCCGTGCTTCGCTGCCTGCCCATCGCCCTCCCAGGGCACTGCTGCTCCTCACTCCCGCTCGCAGCTTTTTCTGGGTTTGTTTTGCTGTATGCAACTCAAGAACTTGTTGCTAACATTTTCCTGGGGGTGGGAAGCGAGGGAAGGGAGAGGAGGGCAGGAAGAGGCAACTTCGGAGAAGTGTTTTCTGATCTCGGCTGGTCCTGGCCCCGCTGCTGCCAAACCTTGGCACCTCGGCAGAGGGGAGCCCGATGGTGTGCCTGGCCCCGGCCCGGTGACAGGGAGACCTGGGGGGGCAAGGAGGAGCAACCTGTTACTTCTGAAACGGCTTCATCCAAATGATCCTGGATGTATGCTCCCACTGCAGGTTGCTTCTGCATCGCTCATCTGAAGCCGTGTTTTTCAAGGGGTGATGCTCGGCGTTGTGCTAACTGCTCTGTGCAGGGAGGTTCTTCATTTAGTGCTGCCTGGAGCTCTCTTGGAGGAAACGAATATGTGAAGGAAACTTGTTCTGACAACAAACAGGCAGAGCAGCAGAGGGGAGCTGCTGGAGAGCCCCCGCCGTGCCCGCAGCCCGGCACTGCCTGGTGGGAACGCATTCCAGGAGCAGGGCTGGGGCTTGGGCAGGTTTGTGCATGCAGCTCAGGGACTCAAAAGCACTTGGCAGGAATTGGGATACCACTTCTTTTTTTGTCTTTTGAGTGATAGTTGGCTTTTTATCAAATCTTTGTTAAATGCACAGGATTTTCCTTTTTTTTTTTCCTCTTGCTTTCTTTATCACGTAGACATTAAACCATTATTTCTCATACCCAACTCTCCCAGCATACTTTACCACGAACACAGATCTAATTCCTTTCTTTACAGATAGGGATATCACCATTATAAAGGGCTGCCCTCAGTTATACTCGCATTAGGCTGATGTGCACATCAACAGGATGCTATTGGGCCGTGACCTGTGTGTGTTTTGGCACGGCTGTGCGCCGCCTCACCGTGGCTCCTGGACGTGGCACGTGGGCAGTACCGACGTCCTGCAAACGCCATCGCTGTCGCAGCCGCACTGCTCCTGAAAATGCATGCTCGGTCCCAAGGGAGACTCAAGATGATTGTAGGTCCGGGTTTGGTTTGACGTAATATTTATACTCACTGCCAGTTTAGAGAATATAGTGTGATGTTTAAGTCATTTCTAAGTGCTAAATTAATTTTTTTCCCTGTGTGACCAAATTGGGAATTGCTGCCTTGATATTTGATTGTTGGTACTGTGGCTGGTTTGAGTCTTGGCCGCTATCTGTGTTTCCAATGCCCTTGGTGTTGGATGGCAGAGGCTGATATGCTTATCTGGGCCCCTAAATTTAGCCTGGCAGCTCTTGAAACATCCAGAGTCCAAACTGCAAATAGTGAGTGAGGACTCACTAATGACATTCGGCTCATGCCCTTGAAGCAATTGGCCTGTGAGGGAGGGCTGCTGGGTTTTAGGTGGCTTTCAACTCCGTATGATGAAAGCCTGGACAATGGTGCCAAGCTGAAATAAGATCTTTGAGGAGGTGTTGCAGGATGGGTACAGACAAATACCAGATCTCATGCCAGCTGTAATTTTCCTGAGAATTTAATGCACCAGGAAAACTTCACATTTACAGGTTAAAGTAAACTGGGTTCAGACAAGTCTTAAAAGGAAGACAATAACAGAAATCAACTCCATGTGATGCTCAGCAATCTAATTCACGCTTTGGGCAATGTGTGGCCCTCCTCTAGAGCTTATCTCTAGGGACTTTGGTTTAACTCAGTCGTAAACGCTCCATATGCTTCTGTGCTGTAGCTTGTCTGAGGTATCCTTACTAGTACTGACTGTGCATCTTATTCCATTTGGTTGCTCTCTGGTACAGCCCAGTACTTAAAATTTCTCTTTGCAATTCACAAGCAGGCTTTTGGAATGACTCCGCTGTGCTCCGTTGCCAGTTGCGCGGATGCTGGTTGCATGGGATTGTATCTGTGGCAGTTGTGTTGGCCAGGGCTTTCTGCAGTTTGTCTGGTGTTGAAATACAGATGTGAGGGGGCTCAGGAGATGGGGCTGTGAAACAGGCTGGTTTGAAGAGTTGTGCCATGGTTTAAAGACAGGGAAGTTTGCTGAAGCCTTTTAATCTACTGCATCTGGCAAGTCTGCCATTTGTCATAGTTAAAGTGATGTTAAATGGATTACTAAGCCTCCATGCACTCTGAATTTATCATTGTGTGGTTTAAAGAAGACTTTATGTGGTCATTGTGGTAAAATCAGCCATTAATATGTGTCTAATTCACCATTCCTGCAGAGAGCTGGTCTTGTCTAATATCAATGCAATCTGCTGTGGAAAAGGTAATGCGTAGGCTTGACCTCTCAGGCTGACCTTTCGGGGTAATACGTGGGAGGTAACGACCTCTGAGCTTGCAGTGCGTCAGGAGGCAGGAGATTGTCTTCTGCAGGACACGGTTTTACCAAGTTGGCTCCAGAACTGCCGGTGCAGTACATGGTTTAGCTGTCTAATCTCGTTAGCTGTCTTAGGAGGAGCTATTTTGATTGTTCCTCTTTGCTTTAAGCTCATAAACCCTGCGACTGGATAACTGCGGAGCGGAGGTGTGGGCAGCAGGGTGCTGGCACGCTGCGAGGAGACCCCGTACGTGGTGTGAAGACAAACCTGAGGTCCAAACCCAGCAGTGGTGGAGGTCAGCCTGGATGCGCTCGCCTGGAGCTCCCCGGTCGCCTCTGGATTCACAAGCTGGGCTGCTTGAGACCAGCTCTGTCTCCTCACTTTTCAAATTTTCCCTTTCCCATAGAGCAGGATGAGACACCTATGACTTGTGGAGAAGCGCTAATCTTGGGAATCGATGTGTGATTAACAGAGTTTGCAGCTGCCTTGGACAAAGACGTGATTCTCATCTTGGTTTAATCCATTTGTCAACTGTTTAGCTCTGCTTGCCGCAGCAGCAACACTTCTGATTGACAGTAATGTGCGGGAGTTCAGACCTGGCAGTATTTCCATGCCTGATACAGCCGCAGACATTCAGGTCCCTGGTTTATCCATGCACCAAGCGTGTCACAGGGAATTCCAGGTCAGCCTTCCCTGTCCCTGAGGCCGTGCTGCAAACGTATAACCTGCTTAAAGCTGGAATGGGGGGGGGATGACAGACACTCGTCAGCTGATGGCTTTCTTCAGGCCTGAATTCTTCCTTCATGCTTGCCCGTGAAATTTCCATTGGTATCAATGAGGCGTTGGATTGTTCAACCTTGCCAGAGACCAAAGGCTTGGTTATGGACTAAATGATTTCTCAAAGGCCATTTTTAATTGAACTCTGTTCTTTTCCCCATGAGGAAAAGGGACTTTACACTTGATTCAAAGCTTGAACAGAGTTTTTGTGCAGTCTTGGTAGGATTCCTCCTCCACAATGTGCTGCTGTGGGTTTTTTTTAACAGAAATAATTGTCAACCAAATGAATTGTTGGTTATGTATTCTGAAAATGTAAGGAAGGGTGAACTTTAGCTGCGTTCTTATATTTTCGGATTCTGATCTTAACTTGTGCAGCTCTGAGAGGAGCTATGCATTCTGCACTGGTGTCAGGCAGCGCTTTTTCATTTTCCGTAATCTCCTGCTGTTTGTATCGTTTTGCTTTTAGTGAGGTAGTGGCATACCGCTGGTACATCTCCCAGTTTCTGTGCAAGATGTGTAGCCTGCTCCTACCTCTGCCCTGCTGGCCATGTCTTTGCCACTGAGCAGGTAAAGAGGGATTTTCTGCCCCAGTCATGACTGGCAGGGACTATTTCCCTTCCCTCCCTTCTGTAGTGTGGTCAGGATCCTTCAGCTGTGGCTGTCTGGAGGGTTTATTTGACTACCATGACATAGTCCTGAATGCAGCAGATTCTTACTAAGCCCAGGGGAGATTTTTAAATAGGTGAAAGTCCTCCAATGAGTCTGGCAGTGCCCTGGGTACAGCCCTGAAGCTTGGATCCCTGGTTCCACACCCTCCAGGCTGACTGTGCCATCAGGTTTCTCTATGCTTCAGTTTTTCCATCTGTGACACCCCTATAATACTGGAAGCTAATATTATTCTGCACAGTTAGGTGTCTGTGGTGGGTTGGGAAGGATCCCAGGAAAGGTAGAAGATTTTTAAGTTTTTTAGCTGGGCAGCAGCTGTAGCCTGTTAAGAGCATTGCTAGGGGATGGACAGTTGTTTTTTGTTTTAAAACAGTTCTGGGCACACATGGCCATGGCAGAGACCTGAATCTGTGCCACTAAACCCAGATAACTCCATAAAGTACAACCCTACCTCCAACTCAGGGCATATGTCTGTCATCCATGTGAGACAAATGCCCCCTCCTCCCCCTGCCTCAGTGGGCCCATTTTGGAAGGGAGCAGCTGCTAGAGGTATGGAAAAGCCACCCCCCTCAGTCCCAGAGCAGCTTCACTCAGGGGGGCTTTATTGGGAGGGTGCAGCTACCACCCTCAACTGTTCCCTGGGTCCCCCAGCTACCCCCGAGAGGAGCCAGAGGTGTGAGTGAAACCTATTTGCAAATCGGTAAGAGAAGGCTTTGAAAATAAAAGCAGCTAAGAGAGCGTTGGTACCATATAAAATATTTATTGATTTTGCAAAATGTTGTAAAATGCATCTGTAATAAAAATAAGAAACCATGCTGTGCATCTTGCACATTTTTATACCAACAAAAGGTATTTTTTCCCCACTGCTGCACAGCAGCAAATATAACCATTCACTTCTTTCAAGTCTTGCACTTGCGGTCTCCTCCTTCAGCCAACCCTTCTCTCTTCTTGCTGGAACCACCACCAGGTACAACAGGACAGCAGAGTCTCTTGTGCTCGGTTCCTCGGCAGGCACCTCTCCGGCGCAGGGCTCTTAGGAGGCGTGCTGCCTGGTCACCAGGGCCCTCTGCATCCCCGCCGGCTTCTTGCTCTTTTCCAAGATCAAATCCTCTTGTTTCTGGGGACGCGTTTGCTCTCGCGTCGGGGCAGGTTTCTGCTCCTCCTCCTCCTCTAGCCTCCCTTCGGAGGTGAAAGGACTGCACACTGCCTCCACCAGACCAATAACCACACCAAAGAAAGCCAGCACGCTGCCCAGCATGTACAGCTTGACCATCTTCCTGTTGGGCTTCTGGCTGAGCATTTCTTTGGCAAAGGGGATCAGCTCATGCATGGTTTCCATTTTTTTTTTTCAGCAGCAGATGTCAGTTCTACAAGAGAAGAGAGGGACATTAGTTAAATCCAGCTGCTCTCTCCCGTAGTGGTCAGAGCCCTCCAGGCAGTCCAAGCTCTCCGCAGACACCGCCCCCCCCCCCCCCCCCCCC